TACTAATAGTTCACGAAAATAATAATTTTCGTGAACTATTATTACTTAAGTATGTAAAAATTTATTACATTTCATGTTGTACGAGGGTTTTACCCAATTCTCGAACCGTGTCAGAGTGAATCCGTGCTATAAAAGTACCGTGTTATACGGGGGATGGTACCAATTCTCGAACCGTGTTAGAGCGAATCCGTGCTATAGAAGTGCCGTGTTATACGGGGGTTACCTGTACTATATATATAAAATATAAATAGACAACAGTAACTTTTCGAATGTCATTAACACACAATACAATTCCATAAAATATGTTAACGCTCAGGGCTTTCAATAAAACAAATAATACAATCTAATGTACAATTTAACACTATATTTACAACTGTGACTTTGCTGAAGTGCAAAGCACTGCAGCGCATTACACACTATCAGAATTATTATTTAGAATTTCAGAATTGCAATCATTTCCTGATACAAACTCAGCATTTTTAGAAAAAATAATGCTCAAAATGTTGTATATTGAAAACTGATTGTGTGAAAGCATTTCTTTATTGGTGACATTGACACTACGTGGAGTTAGATGTTTTGCCGAATTACATAAACAAATATGTATGTGAGGATTCTAGGGATTTCGAGATTCAAACCCCACTTCCGTGACACCAATTTGTGATATTTCTAGGGGTTTTTCTTTTAGATCGAAACCCCACTCCTGCTACACCAATTTGTGAGCCACCGGAAGGGAAGAGGAGTCCTCTCTTTCCGGTCACTGGTCGGTGACCTACTTTCTTGTCAGGGATGGTAGTAACGTTCGGTTACGCGTTACGCGAGTGGAGGGGAGTCGAAGGGGTCGACGATAAGGCGTTGGCATAGTCGAATAAAGACACCATTTTTCTAAACTAACAATTTATTACAGACAAATAATAAAACAAACGTTCTAACACGACAAGTCTCATTCGCGTACGAGAGAGAGAGCTTACAATAAAGCGTTCATACCTCTTGTGACGATAACGAAGGCCTTTAATTTCTGAAAGGCGGAATCCGAGTTGAGGGTCGGGATCGAAGGTTTCTAATATGTAGGGCGGCCGTTTAGAGGGAAGCGAAGGTCTGTCTTAATGGTGCGATGGCGACTTCTTGATCAGCGACTCCCCGGAGAGGGGAAAAAGTATGGCTTTTATACCTTTTTGGTGGGAAAATTCGTCAGGTGATCAATTGTTTTAGCAGGTGTGGGGTTAAAGGTGGTGTTAGAATGACAACAATATGACGAATTTCGCCGATAACTGTAAACTATATACGGTTTGATCGTGAGAATGTTTATATTAAAACAAAAAGAGTTACAATTCTCGCATGTACCTTAGATTTCGTTTTTGTAGGGTCAAATTCCTTTGGTTGTGGGTATTTTCATTTTAAATTTATTAAACTTTTAAAGTATTAAATGCTTTTATTAACTTCGAATTTCACATATACATCAACATATAATCATAGAAATAAAAGCCAAATAAGTACAAAAATATATAATTTATTAACGAGGGATAATTAAAACTGTTTGTTTTAACGTTACGTAATATAGTGATAGCCTTTGCAGTGCAAAATTATATGTTTTTGTGGTAAAAATGCTGATGGATTTTTTACTTCATATTTATATGATGATTCTTTTATTAATATGCACAGGTTCTTTACCTAGTTAATACTATATTAACGTCTCTGTGTTTTTTTCCCGAATAAATTGTTAGCTTTAATTTTAATTTTACCGTTTTTGTAATCGTTATTACTTTGACAAACACGATTTCGGGTAATTTCGTTACTGTATATCTATCGCTACTGTTATAATGTTATAAATAATTCCAACACTTGTATATCCGACGGCATGAATAGATTCTAGCTAAAACAGGACACAAGCTATGCATTGCATCAGGCCAAATAATTTTTTTTTCTTACATAATAATTGTGAGCCGCCGGGGAGGTTGAAAATTCCTTTCTTTTTTGGCAATAGGTCAGTGACCTACTTTCTTGTCAAGGATGGCGTTCACATTCTGTTTCGCGTTACGCGATTGGAGGAGAGTCAGATAGGCCGACGATAAGACGATAACACAGTCGAATAAAAACCCGATTTTTAACAAAACAAACCGTTTATTAAAGTCAACTAAGATAATAAAGATTTTTACACTCTATTTCTAATTCGCGGAGGAGAGAGAGAGTTTACAATAAAGCTTTGGTGCCGTCTGTAAATTACGTAAGTTATGTTGGGGTGGGTGGGATTCAAGTATTTCTTACGATTTTATACTGTAATAGAAATCGTCTTATGTAATATTCTTATTTTTATTTTTTGCTCCCGTTGAGTGGTGGCGTTTTGAATTTGGCTGAATTTGGCCGTTTCTATTAAGAACGCTCGTTGTCTCGTGTGACGTGATAAACTAATAACGATAGCAGATTCACGCTCTACGCATTTTTGTCATGAGAGAAAGACCGTGTGGTAATTTCTCTCTCTTGTTTTTTATTAGAATAAGTGCACCACGCCTATAGGTGTATAACACTACGTATAGATAAACCAAAATACATGATAGAAAGTATTTGTACCTTCTAACATATTTTTGGCAAAATATGTCAGTTTGGATGAAGATACAAATACCTGAGCCGAGAAAAAGGAAGCTTTTGGACTCATCTGTGTAGTTATTAATGTCTGCGTGGTTATCTATGGAGGAAGCGGATGACATCAAATAACGTTGTTTACAGGATGATTATCAGAGATAATGGGGTAATTGCAATGTGGTAGCGTATGAACAGCCGTAGATGGAAATAGACACCGTTGTTGAGCCTTGACGTTTGTAATTCTGATGTAGTAGTTTAGAACCTTTCGTACAATACATAGTGGCAAAGCA